TTGTTTTTGTGAGTTTACAGTAATATGTCTTGATTGCTGTACTGTAATTCTACTCCTTGTTAAATGTATCCCTGGCTGGATTACTGCAACTCTTTATTATCAGGTTGCCCCAATAAGTCCATTAAAACGCTCCGAATAGAATTTAAAATCCTCCTCCTCACCTATAAAGCTCTTCATGGTCAGGCCCCTTCATATCTTAAAGAGCTCATAGTACCCTATTACCCCTCTAGAACACTACGTTCTCTGAATGCTGGGCTACTTGTGGTTCCTATAGTCTCTAAAAGTAGAACAGGGAGCCAGAGCCTTCAGTTACCAAGCTCCTCTCCTGTGGAACCAGTTTCAGTTGTGGTTCGGGAGGCAGACACCTCACCACATTCAAGAGTAGGCTTAAGACATTCTCTCTTGATAAAGCTTATAGTTAGGGCTGGATCAGGTGAGTCCTGAACCATCCCTTAGTTATGCTGCTATAGGCCTAGACTATCGGGGATTTCCCATGGTGCACTGAGCTCCTCTCTCTTCCTCTCTCTTTCTGCACTCATTCATGTCCCATTAATGCATGTTACTAACTTCACTTCTTCCCGGAGTTCTTGTGCTTTCTTGTCTCGCAGGTTCTCATGGATCCTGGTGGAGCCTCCTGCCATGGTCCTGCTTGACTGCCATTGCCAATACTGTTGTTGCTGTGCACCTGTCTGTCTGTCTGTCTGTCTGTCTGTCTGTCTGTCTCTCGCTCTCTCTCTCTCTGCCTCTCTCTCTCTCTCTCACCCCAACTGGTCGAGACAGACGACCACCCACCTAGAGCCGGAGGATCTGTCCTAGGTTTCTGCCTTTTAACAGGCAGTTTTTCCTTGCCCTTGTCGCCAAGGTCTTGCTCATGGTGGTACTGTTGGGTCTCTGTAATTAATGTTTTAAAGAGTTCGGTCTAGACCTGCTCTATTTGAAAAGTGTCCTGAGATAACTTCTGTTATGAATTGGCGCTATACAAATAAAATTGAATTGAAAATTGAATTGAATT